CAATAGTTTTGGTAGTGTGCAAGTAGTTGTTAAAGATACTTTTACTCCACTTGCTCATCGTACCTTCAGATATTACATGAAATTGCATTGTTTAAGAGTGTTAGTAAGCGGGTTTAGATCGACTGATTGCCCGTTTTACTGTAGTAAGAAATTGAGTTATTGTGTAATAAAATTTGAGACTGATCGACGTAACTTTCCACTTGTTCTGCGCAGACCGCGACAATATCTATCATCTTGTGTCACCATGTCATGAGGATTATATTTTAGAAAGACATCTTTAGTGATGATGCAGTATATCAGGGTATAATTATATTAATATTTCTAAAATGTATATATTTTATAGAGCTGAAACTGATGATTTTCTAGATAAACGATCTTCTTCATCATCATCAGGAGATAAAAATCTCTTCGTATGAAATATAATTGAAATGTATTTAAGATGTAAAATTTTAGAGATTTAATTTTAATTAGGAATATTGGTGAGAATGATGTGATGAAAATAATAATATCAATGATAATTTTTTTAACAACAAATTTGATAAAGGAGGAGAGGAGGAAAGAAGGGAAAAGATTATCAATTGATAAAATAGAATTGTGATTTCAGTCAATTATAAGGTAATTATATATATATATATACATATTTATATTGTTTGATCGAGGTTGATTTAATATTTCTTATTGATAGGAATGTGTGATATTCTTCACTTTCAAGATGATACCCTGTATACAAATGTATGGTGCATTGAAAGGTATGTGTGGTGAGTGTGATGTGATGTTGTTATGGGATAATATGATTTATTGATTTTAGTTATTTTAAATGAATTATATTTATTAATTCTTATTCTTAATTATTTTTAATTATTTTTAATTATTTTAATTAATTGATTTAATTGATTTAAAGAGTTTTTAATAAAATGATTGGTTATTGGATAAAAAGGAAATTATCGAATTTAGAAAACTTATGAAATACAGTAACTATTGATGAATTTAGGTAATGAATTTTGTTATTAAGTTATTGATTCTTTAATTAAGTTAGTTAGTTAGTTAATTAATTAATTTGATAATTTATTGTCTTTTTACCTTAATATTTTCATCATATTTCATATTTTTTTTTTATTTTTTATTTTTTTATTTTTATTTTTCTACTTTTTTTTATTTTTTATTTTTTATTTTGATACAAAAGATTTTAAAATAGAGAAGGAAGCAAACGATCTTCATACTACAATTTCACTTTAGACGAACCAAATTTTAGTGATACTGAAAACTATTGATCCGAAATTTCCGAAACAGATCAACATAATTATGAAACAACATTGATATCACATTGAGAAAGAAAGATATTCGACGAAGAAAAATGAAATATTATTGGAAATATATAAGATACTAATTATTTCTTTAGAAAAATCTTCATCGAATCAAATGGTTAAATGAAATGCATTTGAATCTTTTTTTTAAAAAAAAATTTACTGCTTAAGAATCGAACCTTTTAACTTAAAATTCTCGAACTTTAAACGAGCATCATTCTTTCAAAAGATCTGAACTCTTAAAGTAGGTGTATTATATTTCTCGCTTTAAATTACTTGATTCCTTTTATTTGATAATAATAATATATTAAAAATAAATTTAAGTATATAATAAGTTCAATAGCTCGATAAAAATAAAAAATTGAATCAAATCTAATTAATCAATTTATTATAATTATCATAATAATATAAACATAATATTTGATTCAAAAAAAAATTCATTAAATTTTTTTTTTTAAAAATTTCTGTAAACGGATTCAATTTTAATAAAGTTATTTTATTTATTTATTTTTTAATAAATAAAGTTATAAAAAAGAATAAAATTGGCTAAGATTTAAACGACTTGAAATCACAGTAATAATAGTCAGATAACGTTTTCATCTTTTTAGATTAGTATTTTACAAGCTTTTTTTTTTTTTTTTTTCGTTTAGAGTTATCTGTTCAACAGATTAATAAAAAAATATTTTGTGGAATTTTCCACACTTGAATTGCCGTCTAAAATTTTTGAATCATTTATTTTGATAAGAAAGGGGATGACTTACTGTACATTCGAGAATATTTTATGTGGATACACTTTAGAGGTCATTTGCTGCACATCTGTTATTATCTGTAATGACCAAAATTGGAAATTATATAATAACATTCCATTAACAGTTAAATAAAAAAAAAAATTGATAATAAAAAATAATATAATTAAAAATACATATTTTAATTTAGAATGTTGCATATTTCTAATTATTATTTTAGTAAACCATGAGTAGTTACACCACTATTGCATTGAATCATAAATATTATATAAACTATTTTTTAAATCTACTCAATTTTTTTTTTTTTATCTCTTTGACAAAAAAAAATGGCAACTAAAATTCCAACAGAAATATTAATTAAAATTTTAAAAAATGTTCAATCATTTCGTTCAACTAAAGATTTATATTCCTCATTATTAGTTAATCGAATATGGTGTAAAGTTACTATACCTATACTTTGGGAATTACCTTTGGGTCAAGAATGTCATGCAGATGATAAGGAGTTAAGGAAGAAATCATTATGTATTCGAACTTATATATCATGTATGAATACTCAAGCTAGAACTTTACTTATTGAAAATGGATTTGATTTATCAGCATCACCACCTCAAGCTACTTTTGATTATCCATCATTCACTCATAAATTTAGAATTGATAATTTAGTTTATTTTATTTGCATTTATTCACAACAAAATATTGGTTCAGATCAAGATTATAATAGCAACAGTAATAATAATAAGAACGAATCGAGAATATTATTTCGTGAGATGTGTAAATTAATAATAAATCGTTGCTCATATCTGAATTATTTTAAATTGGCGAGAGTTACCAAAAATTTTTCTAAAAATTTTGATAATTATAGTGATTCGATTGGTTCAATTCTCAAGTTACCTGGTGCCCCGAAAGTATTTAAAAAATTAGAAACATTTATTTCAGAGGCGAATGATGAATTGTATAGACCTTTATATGGATTATTTACATTGATTTGTAATAATATTTTGAATATGGAATTGAAAATTAATTCATATTCATATGATCAAGTGCAATTATTAGCAAAACTTATTATCGTTCAAAAAAGATTGGAAAATCTAACAATTATTGATAATAGGTATACAGATTGTAATTTATTATTTTGGGCTATCATCAGCCAAAAAGAAAAATTAAAGAGTCTTCGTTTAAAAAAATTATATTATAATCGTTATATGGAGAAATTACAACCAATTGGGCAATTTACTTCACTTCAAGAACTTTATATTGAAAATTGTTATGGATTATATAATTCTGATTGTTTATCATTGGCTTCATCATTTACTCAATTGAGTAGATTTCATTATTTTCATTCGAGTTATTCAAATAAGTGCCCTCAAAGATTTATTATAAAAATTCTCAAAACTGCCAATATAAATTTAAGAAATATTTATTTAGAATTATATCCCGCAATTACATTTGAAACATTTTCAGCAATTTTAAATTATTGTACAAAGATTATCAAATTAACTTTATTAAATCTACGTCCTGAACAAGTAATAGAAATATTTAATAATAATTTTAATGAATTAAGGAGATTTTCATTTGGTTGTGGAAAAGGATTAGATGCAAATAAATTATTATGTCAAATGGCCAAAAATGTACCAGAATCACTTGAAACTATTGAAATTAGAATGGGAATATTTAGTGCTAATAGTTTAAGAAAATTTTTTGAAGGTTGGTGTTGTTGTAAAGGAGGGGGAGAAAATAAAAAGATTATTGTAAAACGTACAGTACAAACGTGGCTAACTTTAAGTGATGAACATTTTAAAGTTATTGAAGAATATGGAGTTCAATTTAATATAGAAGAATGATATTACAAATAATAATATTCTAAACATGATTTTGAATATGATTTTAAATATTATTTTAAATATGAATTTAAAAATATGAATTTAAATATGAATTTTTAAATATAATTTTAAATATAATACCAAATCAGATAACATAAATTAGTTATAGTATTTTATTTGTATGCAGAGTTAGGTGTTGTGTTTTATTATTTTGTTACGTTAAATATACTGTAAGAATATTAAAAATATTATGTACTAAAAATCACGATATATGAAATTTATACAATTGTTAGATAACTATTTTATTAACGAAAAAAATTTATTAAGTAAAATCGCTTTGATATAGTTTTATATGATTTTATGATTTTATTAATTTTATTGATTTTATTATTTTATATTGATTTTTATCGTATATTAAAATTAAAATCAACATTAAAGTAATCAATTAAACCAATTTAATTTTAAAGTTAAAGTAAATTGACTAAATCAAGATTTTTTTTTAATTAACTATTTTAATTAAGTATTTACTTGATATGCTGATCAGAAGAAACAGAAATTGAACAAAAATCTTTTAAAATATAATTAATATGACATACACCTATTTCAATTAATAGTTATATAATGGAATAGCAGTACATGACATGGAATAATTGATATATTGTTTGCTAAAGGAAAATATAAAGTCACATAACTCTTGTTTGAATTAAAATAGTTAAGTAAAAGTGATTGCATTGATAGTTACGATAATAGTTTTTAGCATCAATTATTATTTTTAAATGAACTATTCAATTCGAGAATTCCAACATCTCTTGTAATTGCTTTTGAAAATCAAATGAACCTCGAACCTTGAATTTTTATTCGAAAAGAAAATAAAGAAAAAAGAAATCATAATGCAACTTCTTCAAAATTTAATTTTTTACATTAATTTTAGTTAATTTAATGTTGATTTTAATTTTAAATATATTATATAATTATAAAATAATATATTTTAATAAATTAAAAAAAAAAATTAAGCTATATAATAATTTTAATACCAAATTTTAATAATATTCTACTAAATTAAATTTAATTCCATATTCTTCAATAACTTTAAAGTGTTCAAGAGTTAATGTATATGGTAACAATTCTAGAATATTTAGAGGAATCCTTTTACTTATATTTTTTTTATTTTTTATAATAATCCTTTTAACTCTTCCACCTCCTCCTTTACAACACCACCCGTCTAAAAATTTTCTTAAACTGTCAGCACTAAATTTCCAAAAATTATCATAGACCATATTAATTTCAATAGTTTCAAGTGATTCTGGTACATTTTTAGCCATTTGACATAATAATTCATCAGCATCCAATCCCTTTTCACAACCAAATGAAAATCTCTTTAATTCATTAAAATTATTATTAAATATTGCTATTACCTGTTCAGGACTCAAATTACATAAAGTTAAATTAGTCACCTTTGTACAATAATTTAAAATTGTTGAAAATATATCAAATGGAATTTTGGGACGTAAATCTAGACGAATATTTTTTAAATTTGTATTGGCTGTTTCGAGAATTTTTACGATAAATTCTTGAGGATGCCTATACCCATCATGTTCAGATTTCAAATTCCAATAATGAAAACTACTTAATCGTATAAATGATGAAGCCAAGAATAAACATTCCGGTTTATGAAATTCATAACAATCTTGAAGATCAAGTTCTTGAAGTGAAATAATTTGTCCAATTGGTGATGATACTCCCTCGAAATTATAAAAACGTGCGAATTTTAAATGAAGACTCTTTAACGTTTCTTTCTGACTAATAATAGCCCAAAATAATGAATAATCTAGTTTAGTAAAAGCAAAAATTGTTAAGTTTTCTAATTGTTTTTGAACACTAATAAGTTTTGAGAATAATTCCTCTTGATAAGATGAAGTAAAAGAAAAATAAGACAAATTCATATTTAAAATATTATCACAAATTAAGAGTAATGATTCATATAATGGAACAATCTGGCTAATATTTCCTCTCATTGAAGTAAAATCTTTTAATTTCTTAAATACTTTCAGGGCACCAGGTAACTCGAGAATTGAGCCAATTAAATCTTTATAAGGACAAGAATAATTGACTTTCGCTAAACTAAAATAATCTAGAAATGAGCAACGATTTATTATTAATTTACATATCTCACGAAATAAAATTCTTGAATCATTCTCATTATTATTGTTGTTGTTATTATTATCTTGATCTGAACCAATAATTTGTTGTGAGTATATGGTAATAAGATTAGCCAAATTATTAATTATAATTTTATGAGTGAATGATGGATAATCAAAAGTGGCTTGAGGTGGTGATGAGGATAAATCAAATCCATTTTGAATAAGTAAAGTTCTAGTTTGAGTATTCATACACGATATATAAGTTCGAATACATAATGATGTCTTCCGATTTATAGAATAATATTCATGATCCAAAATTAATTCCCAAAGTATAGGTATAGTAACTTTACACCAGATTCGATTAACTAATAATGATGAATGTAAATCTTCAGATTGAACATTGTTTAAAATTTTAATTATTATTTCCGTGGGAATTTTAGTTGCCATTTTTTTTTTTTTGATAAGAAATAAATAATCGTATCACATTTAAATGATTCTGTGTGTAACTACTCTAATGTAATGATATGTATACACAGCATATTTAAAATGAGAGGTTTGTGTCGCGTGATGTACATATATATACTTTTTGTGGAGGATTGTACAATGTAAAATAATTCCTTGTTATGATTAGTGGTGTTACTTTGCTGTTCTAAAAGAATTGATAGATGGAATCACGAGAATGATTAAATTAAATTAATTTTACAAGTTATACAATTAACATAGACCTCTTATTAAATTATGTTAAATCAAAATTAAATTACAAGAGCAACTATTTGAGCAACGAAATACTTCACATTTGTTCTCGAAATATAATAATTCTCCATAATTATTATAATAATTACTAATGTTTTAAAGTAATGAGAACTATTATTTTTTTAATTAACTGTTTTTAATTAACTTTAACATTAAATTAGTTTAATTTTAGTGTTAATTAATTTAACGTTTAACGATAAAATCAATGGTAAGTTAATAAATTTATGAAAAAAAAAAAAAAAATTTAAGCTTAAAATAATAGAATCCTATCTAACAATATTATATTTTTTTTTATTATTTAAATTTCATATATCATTGATTTTTGTTACATAATATTTTAATATATTTCTCAACGTAACAAACTACTAAATAATTCAAAACTCAACATTAAATACTATAACTACAATATCCTTTTACATCAAATTGAACTCTATATTTTTCAATAACTTTAAAATGGTCATCATTTAACGTAAATAGTCGCCCATGTTTTGCAATAAACCTTTGATATCGTATAACAATTTTTTACAATAATCCTTTTATCTACTTTTCCTCCTCCATCCTTCAAAAAATTTTCTTAACCTACCAGCATTAAATATCAATGGATTACCATAGTCCATTTTAATTTCAATAGTTTCTGTACTGGTACATTCGCAGACATTTGACATAATAAATCATTAGAATCCAATCCTGATCCTTTTCCACAACCAAATAAAATTTCCTTATTTCATTAAAATATTATTAAATATTGCTATTACTTGGTCAGGGTTTAAATTATGCATAGATAATTTGGTAATATTTGAGCAAAATGTATCTATGGTATGAAATTTAAATAAATCTTTCTTAATTTTGTATTGGCTATTTCAAAAATTTTTATAATAAATTCTTGAAGATGCCTAAAATGAAAACTACTTAATTGAATAAATAATGAAACTTCCACTTCCGATTTATGCAATCCATGAAAATTTTCCATATAAAGTTCTTGAAGCGAAATAAATTGCCTGATTTCCCGATGAAATTATAAAAATTTATTGATTTTAAACGAAGATTCTTTAAATGTTCTTTTTGCCTAATGATAATACATAATAATGTTTTCCAATCTAGCCTATATTTAGCACTAATTGATAGATTTTCTAACTACTAATGAGTTTTGTTAATAATTCCAGGAAAATAAATTCATAATTTAATATTATCACAAATTAATTTTAATTACTCATATAACGGTTCTTAATATAGCGTAGCGTCTCCGAAACAAACATTTCTAATTTCTTAAATACTTTTGAAGCACCAGGTAACTCGAGAATTGATCCGATTAAATCAATATAACATAGATGAAGTACATATCTCACGAAAACTCGATTTTGTGAAACTTTTATTATAAAAGCAATCATCTTGATCTGAATCAAAAATTTGCTACGAAAATAAAATAAACTAAATTATCAATTATAATTTTACGAGATAATCAAAAGTAGCTTGAAGTGATGATGATGATGAATCAGATCAAGCTTGAATATTCATACTGTACATGATATATGAGTTCGAATACATAATTCTTCCCCATCTTCATAACATCAATTATCCAAAGTTAATTTTCAAAGTATTGGTATCGTCACTTTACACCAGATTCAATTAACTAATAATGATGAAAATAAATATTTAGTTGATTAAACATTATTTAAAATCATAATTCATAATTCTGTGAAAATTTCAATTGTTGCCATTTTTTTTTGCTAAGAATAAAGATAAAAAAACAATCGTATCACGTTTATATAACATTTATTGATTCAGTGTGCAACTACCATGATGTAATGATTACTAAATAACGATCAAAAATACACAAAATAATATATTTATGAATTGAAATAATAATAAGATGCGATAAAAAGCTGGTAAATTTAGAAAATTTCTAACTTAAAAAAAGAATTGACATTGAGTTTGAAAACGCGATAATTTTATTAATTTTGAATCTAAAATTTATACAATTTATCAAAGTTGAGAGAAGGTTCATATACATTTAACATTACCATTCTTATCAATATTATTATAATTGTATTTTCCTCTTGAGATAATGAGGTGAATATTTATATTTTGCTTCACAAACTTGATCTTTTTTTTTTCCTTTTTCATTGTAGATTGAAGTAATTTACATTTGAATTCAGTCTGTTAGCTTTTAATTAGTTAATGGACAAGCCGGATTACATTTGTCATAAACGAAACCACTTTTCCCTTTCCCCAACTCTAGCTCTTGTTTCAACATTGTTTTTTGATAAACAAAATCAAAATATCACTTGCAATGTCTTGAATTGTCTTCAAAAGTATGTTTAGTTTTTTTTTTGTTGTTCAATCTTTCTTCTGATTGTGTAATTTCATTTACATAGTGGCTTCACGTTTCAGTTTGAAAGGTTTAAGAAAATCTAATGGCAATGGTTTTAGCATTTAGTCAGAATGTGAATCTTAACTTATATATTACTTTTTTTTTTTTTTTGCAATAGTGAAGTGTCTCACCAGTTGAATAGCAACATTTAATTTTAAAAAAGAATTTTTATAATCTTGATCTATGAGAAGGACTAGTTGAAAGTTGGTGAGCTGAAAGTTGATTGTTGACGAGTTGATTATTGACGAGTAGAAAAAAGTAAACAAATATTGGTTTAACAAAGTTCCTGATTCAATCAATGAATATGAAACAAATGCTGAATGACTTAAACAACAAAGGGTTTAGGACGGTTTAGCCCGAATCATTAACTAGTATATTCAATAATGTCATCAGATCGAACAAATTACTTCTTCTTCTTCTATCTTTTTTTGGGGTTTAATAAGATCTGAGAGAATGCAACCTTCAGGTTGAGTTTATATATTTGAAGTGCATATTATTTTGATTGTACATTTGGATATTTTTTTAATTCTTTTTATATCAAAAACATTTATTTTGATTTCAATCAACCCAACTGGATTTAAAATTTGAGAAGAACTCTTATTTAGAATTCTTTATTCAACACCTCTTCCATGTTAAATTCACTTTCATCATGATCTACTCGTGATTTAGTAATAAATATGTTGACAATTAAAGGCATTGATTGGGTGACTTGATTTATTTCAAATACTATTTTTTTAAAGTCATGAAGTTTGTATTAAAAAATTCTTAATGGAATTATAGGAGAAAAGAGTGAGAGCGAGAATGAGTATATAAAAATAATATAAGTGAAAATATCAAATTATCGATTATTTTGTTTGCACAATCCACCATCGAAATTTAAATTATATTTCATTTTAAAGAAAAAAAGTTATTTTGATTCTGATCTTAGTTTTTCCCGACATTTGTGTAAAACTTTTTGATCTTCTGATATTTTTTAAGGTTTATTAGGATATTTAAATATAACAATTATTTAATTATTAAATCTTTGAACTAAAAAGATTTTACCTAGATTTTGAATGATTAAAAGGTAGAACTTTTACATAATGTTCTATATGTGGAAGAAGAAACAATTGGAGTTCTTTATGATTATTATTTTCCAATCAAATGAATGTGGAAGACTCCAAAATTATCTTCATATGTAGAATTTATAATCCAGATTTCAGATTCATTACATATTACAATACCCCGTCAAAGTGCTTATCAAATTGTAGGTAGAAAAATTTAATATTTCAAGAAAATCAAATTTTCATTTTTTTCCTTATTTATAGAGAATAATTGGTCGAAAAACTCAATTGAATTTATTTTCTTTGCTTGAATCAAACTTATTATTTGTAATTAGTTTTCTTAATTTTTATTTTTTTATTTTTTTATTTTTTTGTTTTTTTATTTTTTTATTTTTTTATTTTTTTTATTTTTTTATTTTTTTATTTTTTTATTTTTTTTATTTTTTTATTTTTTTATTTTTTTATTTTTTTTATTTTTTAATTATAAACTGAATTGCTTTTAGAATTATTTAATTAACTTTGAAATAAGTTCTCATTTACTGCTAATCTAATAGTAGATTAGAGCAGCACCAACAATTATTTTTCAACTCTATAGAACTACAGTTGACTACTCTATTTAAAAAGTATGTATACTGCTGTTGCTTGTAGTTACAATACTTCTTAATATATTATAACCAAAAATTAAATCTTGTTCCTAGCAATCTAAATTTTATAATAATAAAATTCATTTCTTCATTAGATGAAATGTTAATACAAATTACAAAAATGTAATAAATAATTGTAGGAGACCATTTTGAAGAATTTTCCCTCTTATGAATGAATTTTGGAGGTGCAATATTACATGTAATTATGTAATAAGATAAAATTATTTTAATCAAAAGAATTAAAAGAAATTATAATGTTAGGTGGGATCTGATTTTTGTATCAGAGAGATACCTATGTTCTTTTTCTTATAAAATCTGTTTTCTAATCTTTTTCCATATTTTTAAAAAAAAAGATTTTGTATTTATAATTATCTCTAACTCTAAATGAATAAATTCATTATCTGATTTGGTTAGAAAGTATAATTAGGTATAATTAGTTTATATTTTCGGCCATTATATGAAATCAGTGACATTATAGCCTGTTTCATTAACATTCTAAATATCAATCTAATTCATATTGTTACATATCTTATTGATTTTGAATCATATTTGCATATTTTTCATTATTTTTTCTAATTCTAAATCAGTAATACTTGTTCTATTTTTTGACTTTTAAGCCATGAGACTAGCAATAAGTGAAGAGAAATGGAAGTTCAGAGGTTGAAGGTGTCAACGTAATTCGCAGAATAAATGTTAAACCTCCAGCATGACTTTATCTAGAGTGTATCTCCAAAAGAAAGGAAAGAGATGAAAAAAGAAAAAATAGAAAGAAACAAGTTGAGAGAGAAAAAAATAAGTGTAAGAGAAGTTTTTATAATTTAATAATAGGATATCATATTGTAAGGAACCAACAAATGATTTTACTTCATTTGTTTCTATGCTATCTTTCGTTTAAAGCTTGTATTGTACAACAATTTTAAATAATCGATGATTGTCTCTTATGTTGATTTTGCCATCCTAGTAAATACCGGTTCATCATATTTAGTTCGTACGCCATTGTAAATTTTTTCGAGAGTTCTTATTTTGATTGTTGGGATAATGATGACATATTAATTCGTGTTTGAGACAAAATACGTCAGGAGTATTATTATTTACAATAGTCATTAAAATTAGTTTGTAAAATAATAAACTTTGTTCGTATGTTGTAATAAAAAAAAAATTTAAAATTATAAATGAAAAAATAATTTTTTTTTGAAATTAAAAGTGGTTTGAGTGATGATGGCGTGCTAATTCGTGGTAAAATTTTATTTTTGAAGTTTGACAGTGAGATAAGCAAAATTAATTTCTAAATGCAAATATAATTTTGATTCTACGCTATCTTTCGTTTAAAATTTGTATCATACAACAATTTTAAATAATTGATGATTGCCTCTTATGTCGATTTTTCCATCTCCAGTCATTGTAAAATTTTATTTCTTGAATTTTTAAGAGTGAGATAAAAAAAATTTCTAAATAACTATCCTTTTATTTTCTTCATTTGTTTCTTCGCCATTACTAATTTCAACACAATCATAATTATTCCTATTTCTCATCACTAGTATCAGGATCATAAAGTCAAATGTTATCTCCTTGAATTATTTTTTATGTAGAATTTTGGAAAATTTAAT